TTACCACTTAGCGGGGTATACTTATACATAGTATAATTATTTGTCGAAAAAATAAGAGTATCAGACTCAATATACCATTGGGATAACAATTTGCCTCAGTCGGAGTTGGCTGTGTTTGCCTAGCACCGTGTTGTCTCTTTGTCGTTTGCAAATAATCACAATTTTTTTAAGAAACGAAACAAAGCCACAATTAATCAATTTCAGACAAATGTGGTTCCTGTGCCATGTCTTTATCAATAGGATGGAAAGACAATGTTTCTGATTCATCAGGACTAATTAATAATTTAAGATTAATGTGAAAACATTGACACATGACACGGGATCAGATATAAGGACGGACGAAGTAAAAATACCGTTAGACTGAACCAAGATAACTTCCCTGATTACAACACCAAATGGACAATTTATATTAGCACGAGAATTTGAAATGGCTCACTGGATTCTGACTTCACTTGCGACTAAAGAGTTACGTGTCTATCCTACTTTAAGGAAACATGCTTAACTAATTGTGGCTAAACCCTGCTGACACTTTACTTCTTGTCAATATAACATTTTAAAGAAATGTCAACCAGTAATTAACTTGTGGTCAAATATATTGATGATTCGGTGAGCCTGACTTGGGAAGTGCACGGAAAGATACACATATGCTATAAATAGATATAACAACATTTATTGTGGTTATAAAAAAATCAATCCGAAGGTATTGATAGGAACATACAATGACAAAAAAATCAAATAAAACAATAAAAAAACCCTTAAGATTTGGTAACAAACATGCAAAATAATGTATACCAAAGTAAAATTAAGAGTCAATTCGCGTGCAACTGTTCGGGTACTCCGGTTAAATCTAAGGTGTCAAAATATGAACAAGGGGAAAAAAGACTGATAGAGATTTTGTATAGATTGCACTAAAAAACGTGACAGCACAATATGCTTACTCTAACGAAGCACTTGATATAACATCCGATTTCAATAGGAGCTAGAACTGTCTAAAATCTTAACTTTTATGTTTGTAAATACACGAATAAGCCGAGGAGATATGGGGCATACATCAATGAGACCGGAAGTCAAACAACACAGCAAAAAAAACCCCAAAAAATCTTATTTTCTGATCGAACGCTTGTTTCATTCGCTTTTGATTGTTTCGTTCGTCTATTGCTCTTAGCCTGGTATCCCGGCCCAATCTCAAGATTCGCGTTGCAAGTTGAGCCAGGAACCCAGGCTACTATTGTTCTCCGATGTCGATTACACCCCCTCCTTTTTCATCATAGGTGGTTATTCTATCGCGAGATTGCTTTTTGACGCCGAGAATTTCTTACAATTTCATTTAGTAGCCAATACTTTTATTAGAAATTGTATCATTATGTTTGATCCCTGGGTTGGTACTGCTGCTGGAGAACTATATTTACGGGAGAGTATCTTACGGCGAGCAGACGGTGCTTCGTAATGACCATAATTCAAATAGTTACGTGTAAATTTCATAAAATTAAGTCTTAAATAGTTTTTGCTGTTTTGTTTAGGTGTTTTTACAACGTTTTTACATTTTGGCTTTCCCAGCTTTTCGTCGATCTCTCTTCCGTTCCATATATCGTAAGACTACACTAAATATTGTGCACTCATATATAACTTATATTATGTGCCGGAGATTGGCTTTTTGTCGATCGAAATACGTATTGTGCATGCGGAATCATGTAAAACATGTTTAACCCCGCCGCATTTTTGCGCCTGTCCCAAGTCAGTAGCCTCTGGCCTTTGTAAGTCTAATATGTTTTCATTAATTTTAGTTCATAAATTTTATATGTCCATTTTCACTGAACTAGTACACATTTTTGTTTAGGGGCCAGCTGAAGCCCGCCTCCAGGTGCGAGATTTTCTCGCTGTGTTGAAGACCCATTGGTGGCCTTGGGCTGTTTACTGCTCTTTGGTCGGTTTGTTGTCTCTTTGACACATTCCCCCTTCCTATTCTCAATTTTTTTTTAAATTTTTTTTATGCTTTTATGTTTTTCTTAATAATCAAGTAAAGTTATAGTATTTCACAAGACAATTAAGGATTGTAGTTTCATATTGCCAATTTTTTTCCCTGATACAGTATTTTTTTGAACAGGAACTTAGCACGTGTTAGTTTTGGATCGATAAATCTGCGCCGGAATGTCGAAGTTAAAAGTCAAAAACTAATACAATGTGTGTGCATTGTGGTTAATAATTTTCAAAGCTGATATCTATCCTCTAACTATAATTAATATTTCTCTTATTAAAATACAGGAAACAGTCAATACACAATTAGTAAAATATGAAATTCTATAACCATATATAGATATACTATTGACAGATAGTCTTATCTGATGAGCACAGGAATTTTGAACTTAGTACCCTGTCACTTGTACAAAACAAACCAAATTGCTGTATAGACATAAACCATTACACCCTGGGATATGCATATTAGATATAACAATGAATCGTTGATTCCTTTCAGAAAACTCATTGCTTTTCAAAAACATGCCTTGTTAATTCATGTGTAAATTATCTGCCCTTCAATATCACATTATCATATATTTTCTCGATTTCCTTGGTCGAGTCAACTTGACCGTAATAAACAACTCGACAATGAAAGTCTTTCCAGCGTGAAAAAGATAGAATTGGCGAAAGGTACGGCGTCCAATTCGACCTATCCTTGAACTACGAGCATAATAATAGAAAAACGTATTAAAATGAATAAAACATCAGAACCATGTTGATCTTTAGTGAGATTTAGATTGACGATATTGATTGTGAACCGTCAAGGAATCATAGCCTTCGACCATAAAAATAAACCAACAATTGTCCTTTTGACTCGGTTAAACAGCATTATCTATCTTTTCAATTCAACATGTCCCCTAGTTTCTAATTTCAAACTTTTGCATACAAATTGGTAAAAAGAGAAGTTTGAATACACTGACTACATGTTGAGCATGTTCAATGATTTTTTTAAAAATTGATCTGGACGCCACTTTAGATCCTAAAATAGACGGGATGTTTGTTTTCGTTGAATAGCATTTCGTGACTTTCAATAGAATAAGCAATACCCTGCAAAGAAGAATTAGATTATTAAGACCGACTTTGATGTTAAGAGTAGATTTGCTACCAATATACCCCAATAAAGTAGAGGAATCGTGGAACTTATTTACAGTCCAGTAGTTAGCACTTTTTTGTTGACATGAAATATTATTGATGTGCTCATTTTCTGTAAAATTACTGTTTATAAAATGTTGAATTATTCGAAACACTAAGGTTTTTTCTATCCCCATATAAAAATAAGGAGATGAGGTATGATTGCCACTGAGACAACTATGCACCAAAGGTCAAATAAAGTGGATGTAAGCAATTATAGGCCACCGTACGGCCTTCAACAATAAGAAAAACCCATACCGTATAGTCGGCTATAAAAGGCCCCGACATGAAAATTATGAAACAATTCAATTGAGAAATCTAACGGCATAATTTATAACAAAATAATTAACGAAAAACAAATATGACAGACATTAACCAACGACAACCACTGAACTACAGGCTCCTGAATTGGGACAGGCACATAAAGTATGTGGCGAGGTTAAACATGTTTGTGAGCGCTCAACCCTCCCATGCACAGATTACCATTGACGTATAGGTACATCTTATCGGACTTCTGGGATTTTCATTCTCTTCAACTTCGTGTTAGATTCGATTCGAGCGCCACTGATGAGCCTTATGTAGACGAAACGCACGTATGGCGTACCAAATTATATGCATGGTATACTTGATAAGCTTTTACAATGTAATAATCATGTTTACGCCATAAGTATTTTGGAGTCCTTCGGACAACTATTTTATAGAATCAAGTTTTTGATATCATTAAAAAAAATATATATAAATAGTATTTTCAACATTTCTTTACATTTCACTTCTAAATTTCACAACTATTGTTAATATTTGAAAAAAATAAGACCAACCTTTATCGTCCTGTAATATTAAAGGAGTACAACGAAATTTGTAACCCCGACTAGCAATTTTGTTTGAAATATAAATCCCTGAACAATATATACTATTATCCTTTTTGAATTATTTTCAGTGGGGTCAAATTAAAATTACGTTCGCTCGCTCTAAACTGTAAAGTATATAAGGTACTGCTTTTTTTTAAATTTTGGTTTATTTCTTCAACCCGACAGAAATCTATATCTTTCAAATTTTACCCACAGTATATTTAGATGAACACCCTCATCTTTAACTGTGCCAGTGTGTTCCTCAACTCATGGCTCTTTTGTGATTCTATGACAACGAGACATTTTACTGAGGCAACAAAAATCCATATTAATTTTCGGCATGTTGTTATTTGTTCTTGTTCAGTTTCGTATTTTCTTGTAACAATTTTTTTTTATTGGTGTATAGGAACTACAATTCTACGCATGCATTCATTTCCTTAGTGACATTTATAGTCTGATAGTACGATAATTGCGTTTTTTATTTCTTGTCAGGTACAATTTTGCTGCATTCGATTAAATTTGCAGTCATTAAATATTCAGTTTACAGACCAAAGGGCGACAATTCAAGGCTTGCTAAGAATTAAAAAGTTAAAAATATCAAATGCTTTACTGAATAAAACTGATTTTTTTTCTTCGGAGATTTAAAATCTGCATTTATTTTAAAACAATAGCGCCAGTTTGTAATATGATCAATTTGAGACCTCCCATAATTAACAGTTACAAATTTCTTACAATTCGTTAAAAATTTCCAATATGAGTGTAAAGATTTTGTATAGATTACAGAAACGTTAATTACTTCCAACAAAAGGATAGATAGATGGTACACCTGGCTTAGATCGAACGTAAAACAAAAACTTGGTATAGCGTTAACGGTATAGAAACACTTTAGTATAGAGTTCATATTATGGAAACCATCAAGTGTAAAGTTTATATTGTTTAAAACAATAGATAGGGAGTTTGAAATTGAAACAATAGAAGAGAGATTTGTTGATGTTTTATATTGACCTTCTGATAAAACTTCACTTTGATACTGATAGCAGCGAGTATCAAGATGATTCCTAACGACCTGTAAATACCAAAGATTTTTGTTTACTTTTTATAACAAAACAAAACGATAAAAGACTGGAGAAATGATATAGAAAAGAAATTTAAGCAGATAAAGTGCTACAGTTTTCACAATGTTCGCTTTGTTGAGAATTTACCGGTGAATTTCTACTGATACAGCTTGATTGTTTAGATAAAATGTTTACATTTAAATTGTTTTGTTTTTATTTGCAATTAAATATCATGTTTTTACTATAACGTTACACTTTAACCACCGCGAAGATGAAATTTATAGTACCTTTGTTTCTTTTAACGCAATTAAATTTTACGGGGTGACAAAAAATCATAATATATTTCCATTTTACTGAGCATGAGGAACATAAAATTACAGATTTTATCATTGGCAATGAAAGACATTAAAATTTCTTTTTCAAATCTTTTTTTCTACTTTGTCTTTTCCTTCTTTTATAAGACATAAAATTGTGAATGTATTTAAAAGATAATTGTTAATGTGTGCTGAGGCATTCGGTACATAAGAATTAACTTCCCTCTGATAGCAACCTTTTCTGTATGCGACTTTAATTTTATATATAAGAAATATAAAAGGCGGAAATGCCAAAAAACGGGAGATGTTTATTTGTGTATGTGCAACAGTGTCTATAGGGAAACTTTGCCACATTTAATCTAATTAAACTTCAAGTATGCCGGAATGCTTTGAAAGAATGGTTGACATTCGATATACTCATAAATGTACATGTAAATTAAGGAAGAAAAGCTAGGTTTTTCCCTGTTAATATTTTCACTTTCCCTTCACCCTTGTAGGTCACTGCAATCAGACAGTAAATATTAGAAAGATGAAATACTTATCTATTTAATTATCACTAATGTCTTTTATCCAAAGTGTTTCAGTGTGTTTATAACACAGGCTAAGTACAGGGGAAAGTAACGACCTTTTATCATGTCAAATTTGACGAACACCATGACCACTTCAACTTACACGTGTACCGTACAACCTCCGAGTTTAATGATCTTTTCATCAAGCATAAAACTTTTTATTAAATTTATATCTAATTTTAGATGACAACATTAATGACCACGAGCTGAAAACACGCACGGCACCTGTAACATAATCTTTTTAGAAACAATTACAAGATCATTAATTTCAGTAACACGAACAAGCAGAGAATATCAAGAAAATTTATAGCAACCACTGGCTTATGGGAAAAAATTTATAGTTGGCTCCGATGATCGCATTTTTGTTTTTGTTTATGTTTATTATTCATTAATGGCATTGTGTCACAGATCACCATGATTTATATGACAATAAAGTATTTATTTTCCCCTTAAAAACAGTTTTGAACTAAAGTCCGAAGACTACCTATTTTTTTCAGTTATATGGTCAACTAGTTTCATATTCGTATTTGATTTCGCCTTCGAACTTTTTTTCATTTGAGCGCCACTGCAAGTCTCGTATACACGTGCATTTTGCGAACTAAATTATAAGCCCGGTTTCTCTAAAAAAAAATTCAACATGCTAGTGTTTTTATTAAACTTATTTGATATCTTGTCACAAAACAAAATTAGGTGTTTAATGGCAATAACATATTGATATTGAATTGAAATTGTATTGCTTTTGCATCTATAGGATCATTTGAATTCACAGAATTATTGGACTGTGGGGAGTCCTTCTCATTGGTTTATTGACATTGCAAATTTTAAGACTTAAGTGAAAGAAAATAACACTATATAAAGTTCATGCGTCCGAGGCACTTTTCTGGAATTAACTTCATCAGTAACGCTCAACGCCAAAAATTTTAAAGACAGGCCGCATGTATAAAATACGTTAAACACATGGGGCTATATAATAAAAAGGACCTAAAAAATAGCCAAATTCTTTTGAGGTCAACTTTGCAATATCGTTAAGTATGACTATTTGGTTTTGCAAGTACTTTTTTGGAAAAAGGCCGAATGCAATATATATATATATAGTAGGTTTAGTGTTGACTACAAGAAACTTAACCACGCACAATGCAAGAGTTACTTATCCGATGCCAAAATCAGAATACTGATTTGTTTTATTAAGTAGATCACATGTAATCTAAAGTACTTTCTAAATATAAATGATAAAAAAAACGAATATCGAATTAAAATAAAGTATTATGATAAGTATATATTTGATGATACTAGTGGTTCAGGAACCGTTATCCCTTCAGGAGCAGAGGATTTTCTCCCCGGTGTTCTGGAGCGGTTCTTGCTCCTCTATGTTAAGTTTCGTGTGTAATGCTTTGTGGGCTTGGCTGATAATCTTACTTTTTGGGTCATGGTGTTGTCCACCTTTCTTCGACTATTGTTTTTTTTTATTGTTTCTTTATTCATTTGAATAAGGATATACTGATATGGTGTTACAGACGAAATGTCCCATCCAAATTGACTAGAAATACCTTGAATATATAGTGTTGTATAATATTAAGCGAAAAAAATTCAATATATACATAAGATTCATGTTTTTACTTTCTTTTTACATATAACATCCTAAATAGGAAACTAAAAAAAATGTAACAATGCAGTAATTTTTTTCTTGTCTAATATACATGACTAACAAATTAATTTTGGTTGCAAAATGATAAACATACTTCCCCGTACAATTATAGATCATATTTTGTACATTATTATTTCAAATTTAATTAGTGTTGGCAATTTTACAAATTGCACAATATGCAGGAAGAAGATAAAACAGAGACTCTCATTGAAATTTAAATATAACCAAGATTTACTTAACATAACAGATAACATTAATTTGACCTCGGCACTATAGAACTTCTCAAGTTTGTCGTCAGTATGTTTGATAATAATGTAAAATATTACATCATATGGTGCATAGGACATGAGAAAACTATCGATATTCTAAACAGATGATGTTTATAATTGCCGAGGCTTTAACGAGGGAGATATATTTAAAGATAAATATATGTATACAGTCTAGAAATGTCAGTACAGCATTGACTTCAAATTGAAACTTGCATACCACCATGCATACAACTGATGGAAACCAATTTAACGGTTTAGTCTACATTTATGTTTAATAATTGCAAAATAATAATATTAATAATAATAATAGGTTGGTGTCACTGTAATATAAGGGGAAAATAGAAATTCGATATGCTAACATCGGCTCATCGCAAGAGTGAGACTTGAATTGATGATGTCAGAACTGCTAATATGGCATATTCTGCGTGGAATGTGTAAATTACAAAGACGGGAGCTACAACATTGTAGTGATTGATTGTTTATGGGATAACTCTCATCAGGTACGCTTAGACCAAAAGTTTTAAAGACAAATAAATATATAATGGTCCTTATGTGTTTCCAGTAATGGTGGTTTCTGTCCATTTGGTTATGTGTTAGTGAGAAACTTAAATCAACAGATTCTAGAAATCCCAAAATCATGATGCATTGAAAAAAAATATTTCAATTCTTACATACAATTAGAAGAATTTTAGTATGTATTAACCTTCAAATTCACCGAATAGTCCATAATTACCAAGAAAGAAATTATGAGAGTTTTAAATATATTCATGAAGTCTATTGTAAGATCCGACATTAACGTCATATGAATTCCTTTGACAAACCAACTGTAATCAATTGCAATAAGAAAAACTCTGATCAACTTCCTTAAAAACAATCTGACCGATAAAATTAAAATTTAATGTAACCTTCGATCAGGTATTATTCGAGATGCATGACTGACACGTTTGCATCCTCAGTGAAACCATCTGTTGATTTGAAACACAATTAAACATGCAAAGACGATTCTCTGACGAACAGAAGAATCATTGAACTTAAACTCAAAACTTGAATGAAAAGTTATTTTCATCCATCTGATTTGTTGAAAAAGGAAGATTTCAACATTCATCTTAATAAACTTAATTAGATTACAATGTCTGTGATAAATGGTTACATTAAAACATGGCAAATGACCAAATGATGAGTTATTTTTTCTCGAGCACGTGTATACAAACTGGATAATGACGGGTATTATTTGCAGAATCAGGCTATTTACTAATAATTCAAACCTAGTCCGATAACCTTCAATTTGACCTTTGTACCGACCCTTGACTGAAGTTTTTATTCTAGATGAGTATTGCGCTATAAAAGACATGTAGAAGATATGCATCCTTGGGTAAAAAATTGGCAGGTAGTCTGCAACGTACCTGGACAAAGCTGTTCTGGACTACATCAGCAATATCGTCTCAATTATGTTTTTTTCTACCTTAGATAAGGTGCAAAGTGATAACGTTCCCAGGTGAGATAGTGAAGAAATCCATCTGACAACCAAATCGTTTTACAAAGCAATATAGATGCATATTCGTGTAAGGAAAGAATGTTGAATTGAAGACCAGACCAAATGTCAGACAAATACTAAAGTATAATGTAGACAGTTATACTATGAAAGCTTACATTTAACTACGAGAATAATGTTACCAAATCATATACCCTACAGAAACAGGGGCGGATTCAGGCGGTGGCGTGAGCCCCCCTAAAATTTGCAAACCATGGGTTGTCCTCGGCTTAATAAAGAATATATCGATAAGTTTACCTCCAAAAAATATTCGCCTCACTCCGCTCGGCGAAAATATTTAAGTTTGCGCCCCCTAGCCTAAAATCCTGGACCCGCCCCTGAGAAAAAACAATAGGATAATAATAGATATTTGTTTTCATTCTTAACAAGTCACGTTAGTATTTTGATTTACCTCTGATGGCAAATTAGTCGAAATATTACTAATATTATTTTATGCATCTTTTAAGCCAATTTATTTTTTCTTCAAAATTAATGTATTTTAGGTTAGGGGGCGCAAACTTAAATATTTTCGCCGAGCGGAGTGAGGCGAACATTTTTTGGAGGTAAACTTATCGATATATTCTTTATTAAGCCGAGGACAACCTATGGTTTGCAAATTTTGCAAAAGCCCGTCCCTTTTAATGTATGTTCCCCTGCCAGACTCCAAACAGTTTCAATGTCG